GAACCGGACAATTCGTAGCCAGAGAGTCTCTTGCAGGGGATTGAGGAGCGGACATACGCCGCGATACCCCCACCATGGCTAGGTCTATCTTTACGAAATAACACAAAATCCGGCAGGCTTACAGCGGAATCCGGGATGCATTCCGTTAGTCAAGTTTCCGTAATACAAATGACATCAGAAGAGATGTTAGAAGAAACCGCGTAAACTTCATCGATTTTTGGTGTAAGAGAGCGAACGTTGCAAAGCAAAACCGAAGGTAATAAGGCTTTAACATGGTGCCGCGAGTTGGAGTCAGAGTGAGCATGTTCCTTTGGATTCGCAGTGTTGACATCAATATGCAAATTTTGGGACTTGGGAGAAAGGTTTAAATTTTCGCACTGAAAAGAAGTGTTAAATTTCGGTATGGAATTATCCTGTTTGGCTCGACGTCGCTTGACATGAAGACCAGATCTACAGCCACGGAACTTGAAAATACCAATTTCTTTAAGGGTAGTGAAGTTCTGATCGGCCTTAGAGWATCGGTGGCGAAGACTCAGCAAAAAGTCCCTTGAGTATTGTATCTTGTTGTGGTTATGCAAATCAAAGGCCTTGGAAAATGGATTAAAAGGCCTGTATCCAATGGCGGTTGTACGGGCAACAGGGCCAGGATTACGAGAAATATCAGAGAAGATTGTTATGTCCAACGGGGGAKCATGATCGGKAATAGCGAGCGCAAAGAAACCATATTTGGTTAGCTTGAATACTGCYAATCTCGACTTGTAGAAACCYGATGTAATCAAACAATGTTTCGTGATTATCTTGGTTATAGATAGACCAGGATCACTCCGAAGGAAGSATGAATGAGAAGGGTCACGTCCATATGAAATTGATTGGGATTGGAATATGAGAAACAGGAGAGCAAAAAATCCCATGGCCGCCATATTCGGCGCCTGCGCAATATCTGATCAACAATATCTGAAGTTTATTTACCTTTAGATGTTGTAACAGTTTGATCATCAACAGTATTAGG